TGGATTTTGTGAACCGTTCCACCCCTAATATATATATACACAACACAGCAAAATCCTCCTTCAGTTTATTTTCCAAACATAAAGCTTTACGATCAACCGGAAGCATTTCCAAGCAAACACAACCAGTTATATCTAAAATAAATGTATTTATTTAATAAAGCATTTTAAATGCCACGATTCACATTTAATGAAGTTTAATGCTAATTAAGGCCTTAATTTAAAAATAATAATTCACTGACTTATAACGATTTTTAACGACCAACGGAAACAAACAAACGTATTAGTTTTAGGTATAGATAATGATCCATTGATTATTCTGTGCTGACTGGACTTTTCCTTTATATAAAAAGGATAAACGTCGCTCAAACAAACTGATTTGTGAGCAAAGTGAGAGCAGAACCTCTGACCTTGTCGGGGCGGGGCCTTCTTGGCTCTGAATTTATCAGGCGACGGCTCCGCAGCCTTGGAGTCGTTCTCCAGGATGACGCCGACGAGGAGCGCCGCTCTCTGTTTGGTGTATTTACTGTTGAGCAGTTGATGCCAGCGCGGCTCCTGAAACACACCGCAGGTCGTCAGTAACGGGCTCCGGACGGATAACCGCCTGGCCTGACGCCGCTTACCTGCCGGACCTCTGGGACGGATCGCAGGTCCAGAACCACGTAGCCCACGTTCTCCTTCCGCTGGCTGACGGAGTCCAGAGCGAAACACTGGAGCTTGATGGGAGTTCGCTGCAGCCTGAGAGGACGGATGAGATCATTATGGGGTCTGAACCCGCTTCCATCACCGATACTTCCTGCTCTACTGGACAAATCTCACCTCAATCTGGTTTTTATTTTAAGTGATTAACCAGGACTGAAAAAATGTATCAAAGATCATTAAAATAATCTCCAAACCATTTTAGTCATTTATTAATCCAAGTGAAGATGAAGTTCTGCATAGAGCAGATCGACGTCAATCTGCTCTATGCAGAACTTTATCTCCACCGGGATTAAATTCTGCATAAAATCACCTCTAAGGCAGCAGACTATCAGAGAAAAGTAATCAACAGATTAACTAATTAGAAATTAATTGCTGGTCGATGCTTTAGTGGTTAAAGTTTCTCCAACTTTACTGCACAGAAATAAGTTGATCATCAGTAAAAAGGTTGATTCTTCAGCTTCCGGCTGGTGAATTTTGATCCACTATGAGTGTTTAGGATCAGCCTGTGTTTCTTATCTCTCCGGTTAAACTCATCGGAGGATGTAAACGTTCAGAGGAGGGTCCGGCTGAACCTGTGCTGATGCAGCGTCTTGCGGTCCAGCTCCCAGGCCAGCTCGGTGCTGAACTGGGGCTGCTCTCTGTGCTCCACCGGGTCCGTTTCCAGCTGTTCTCCATCGAAGCTCGCCTGAACCACCAGACTGAGGCGGGAGCTCTTTGGAAAATTTCGACCTAAAGAAGGAAAGTTTGTTTAGTTTGACATGAAAAAAGGCTGAGTCATCCAGAACGTCTTTAGACAAGCAGCACATCGTTTTCTCCAGGCGGCCTGGACGCCATTAAAGGAAATGTCTGGTCATGTTCGAACTCAAACTTCTGAAAGTACTTTAAATATGAAATTATTACGTACTGTCCGATAAATGATGAGTGTTTTAGAAGTTGTAGGGAAATCATATTTAAATGTCAAATCATTCTGGCTTAAACATGTATATAAATATACTGTTTATCAGACCATATTGTCCCAAAAATTAGAAACATTTGTAATTTAAAAAAGAAATCCATTGAAAAAGGTCCTGCAGCACATTTAAAGCAGCAGGATCAGTGAGTCATGAGCATCTGAGACGCTGCAAATGCAGCAGCTGCTGGAGTTGTAAAAATTGAACTTTACCCGCTGGACGCCGCATCAACATATCAGAGAAGCTGATCTGGGAGCTGGCAGGGAGTCAGACACAGCACTGCTGATGCAGAGCGCTATGATCACTCCTCTGTTTATTAGCCCATCTGCAGCAGCCCTCTCTCTGCATAGCCGTGTGAAGGACCGCTGGCTCCGATTGGAGGATTTTTCTGTTTTATTTGGCAAAATGTTCATTATAATTGTGTTTATCCGACTGTGTTCATTATTATTCTTCCACTAAATGAAAAAAAATTATATCAATCGGCCGAAAATCACAATATATCACTAACTCGATTTTTCCCCACACCCCTAGTACTTAAGACGAACTGTTGGCTATCTATACTTTACTGGAGTCATTGTTTCTTAGACAACTTTTTACTTTCTCCTCCTTACATTTTAAAAATAAATTTGTTAGTTTTGTTTCATTTAAGCTCGTTTTCATTATGGCCTGTTGGTATTTAATACAATAAAATCCATCAAAATAATTAGTTTCATCCAGACAATTTCTTTGTGGTCTAACTCGGTGCTGCCCCCACTTGTTGCTCACCACATACCAAAATAAATCGTTTTTCAAGATGAAGCAAAGTAAAATGTGACACTGATACCATTAGTTATAAAACTAAGAAAATTAAGTCTAAGGAAACTATGATTCAGAATAGTAGAAAAATATTCCTTTAATAGGGCAGAGCAGTAAAACAGTTTGTACTGCATTACTTTTATACTTTAAGTCGTTTTAAAATGGTACATTTACACTTTAACTAGAGTAAAGAGATCCTGTAACTTCTATAAGTGTTTTTAAACAGTAATATTTATATTTCTAGTGGAGTAATAAACATTAATAGTTTACTCCTCTGTCTAAACTCTATTTATGAATCTTTATTCATTAGAAGTGATTATAATGAAGCTGGTAAACAACTGACAGCAGCAGAAAGCGTTCAAATGGAAATCATTGCTGATTTAGGTTGCTGTTAGCGACCAGTACCATGACAACTCTGCCATAAATCAGTCCAACTGCTGAAAAGCAAGCAGTGAAGGGAAGGTGGAACCACCTGATGAATGGGGTTAAAGCGAACCGAGAGCAGCAGCCGTCACAGCTCCAAGTTCTCCAGAAGCGACCGTATCCTCCAGAACCAGCGTTAAAAACACACCTGCAGCCATTTACTCTATAAACTCCCGTTTATTTAACATACCAAAATTAAACCAGCTCACCTTCCAGAATGGAAACTACGATGAGAAGTTTGTCAGACTTCGCAGCCATGTTGGCTTCAGCTCCGCTTCATAGAGGATCAGATTTAAGTCAAATCTGATTTCACAGCCTCGGGTTTATCCAAAGCTAAAAAGTTCGACTCTGAACCGTTGCCCTGATTCCGACATTAAACAGCCGCTTTGTTGTCAAGCTTTGGCGCCACCCACTTTGTTTAAAACGCTGAGGAGGTGATGGAGAAACTCATCAGCGCCTCTGCTGGCTGGAGGTGGGAATGCAGGCCTTTTAGTCATTTAGCAAAGGAA